TTTTTAAAAATTGTCCCAAAACTGTTTAAATAATTTTGAATTATTATTAGGTGACTTTCCCGAAAAATAAATAAAAACAAATAATATATTAATTTCATAATTGGATTATTTTTTATTTTTTATACCAAAAAATCGTTTTGTGCATTTATTTTTTAAATAAAAATATGAAAGCAAAACATAACAAAAATTACAACCAAAATAATAAAGAGTAGCTGGGAAAAGTCGGCTTTAGCAAATTATAGTAAAATATAATATTTATTGTTATAAATTCAAAAAACATTTTATAGTATTTTAAAAACATTAATTAAAAACAAAAAAATAATTAAAATATTTGAAAAACCAAACAATAATTGAATTTTTTTCATTATCCCGTTAATAAAATTGATTTTTCGGATACGTAATATAGTTTTGTTGTTGTGGTTGTATTACCCCATAAACAATCAATTGCTACCACTTGATGTTTGTTTTTAAAATTGATAATGATGATTTAGTAAGTATAAAAAAGCAAATATGAAAGTTATCAAACTAATCATTTGATAAAATATTTAATTAATACAACACAATTCAATAATAAAAAATTTAAATGTAGCATTTAGAAACAATTAACTTTTAACAACAAATTTGGACTTTAAAATATATTAAAGAAGTCCACAAAACACAGTGAATGTTTAAAAAATCACATATTCAATCCACTAATCAATTTCTATGTCAAAGGGTCAATGTGTAAAATCAACTGAGATTGATTATGGTAGTAACTTATAATTTTTAAATATTCAATTTCTGTATTTATTTTCAAAAAAGTGTCTCAATATCTAAATTAAATTTGTGTCCTGCTTGAAAGTTTTATAATTTATAATAAAAATAAAAATACAAACAATGACTAATAAAAATGGTTGTTCATAATAAAATATAGTTAATCTTATCGAGATAGACTATTTTCTGCCAACTCTGAGAAAAGTATTCATAAAATCTAAAGAAAATGATAAAAAGCACACATAACTAACGTGAAAATTGATATTTTTTGTTTGATAAAACAAATAAATAATAATAGTCGTAATAAAAAAACATAATTGCTTATGTTCGGAGAATGATGTAAATTGATAACAGTGGTTGTTATTTCCATTGAATAACGTGCTTCTATTTCATAGTGAAAATGATAGAGTCAAAATAGTTGTAAAATATTATAACAATAAAACGAATCCATTATGCATCGCTTTTGCAGACAGCGATGCATCTGTAATTGATTATCAAGCAACCCGAATATAAAGAATAATTATAATAAAGTATACCTTGTTATAGACAATAAAAAAGCTAAATTACTCATAACATAAAACACAACAAAAATTAAAAATATATACCAAATAAATCAATAAAATAGCATTGATAAAATAAGAAGTTTGGTTTTTTGTTGTTTGAAAAATTAAAAATATAGTTGTGGTTTACCTTATTCATTTTAAACACCCCTTTCAATATATTATTAAAAATGTGCTATTATATGCATCAACCTGTCAAAAGTCATTAACAAACAATTGGTTAAACAGTCCACATATTTGAAAAGAAGTCAGACAACAATATAAAAATATGTGGATTATATGTAATGAAGGGTAATTGTTTTAAAAACAATATATATTTAACACTAAAAACTGTTTTTAATGATTGCTTGTTATATTTTAATTTCTTTTGATAAACACTCTTCAAGAGATTAGTCACAGTATAGTAAATACCAAAAGATGAAAAAAATATATTATTGACAGAAAAAAATAGTCAAAAAATCTTGCTACATCGTACTATCTGAAAATACACAGTTAATAAAATGGGTATTTTATTAAGTTAATAAAATGGGGTTTTTAAAAAAGTTTATATTTTTGATAAAGACTATTATGTGTACATATATTTTGTGTTTTTTTAATTATCACTAATGTGTTCATGTTACTTTTGAAATTTGTATTTCATTTCAACTCAAAACCAATAGTTTTTTATTGTTTAGTGTATAAAATACATATTTATCTGTTTCAGAATAAATGTTATTCATTTTACCACTATTCTTATTTTGCCATTTTTTACGTTTTTGTCATTAATTTTTATATTTTTTTCATTTTTTTCGCAATTTATTTGTTTTTTAGTTCATGATTTGAACTCGTTATTCCATTTTCATTTTACTATAATTGAACTACACTGTATAATATATTTTTTTTTCAAAAAAACAAAAACACTGCTCTTTTTAACAGTATTGGTTTGTTGGGGATTAGGTACGTCGGCGAGTTAAATAACAAATACGTTTTTCTGGTTTTTAACTATTTTATTATTTAACCTCTTTTTTTAATTTCAAAAACTTGTTTGTCTGTCTGTTTATACAATTACTATTTAAAACAATAATTAATTCATCAAAAAAGAGATAATTTATTTAAAATTTTATCTTTTCTTAAGGAACTAAACTTGAATAAAACGATAGTTAGTAAAAATTAACTATCGTTCGTATTGAAAAATCATCACATTTTATTATTAAGATTAGTAAAAACAATTATATTTATAGTATATTGCTTATTAATAAAATACTATTAAGAAGCGCAAGAATAACGTACAACTGAAATAAATAAATTAATATATGCGTTAGACAAACATATATATGTAGATGTAGATAATAGTTTTTTAGTGTTTTTTTTACTTTTATATTTTAATAAAAAAGCAATAGTAAAAGATATTAAAAATTAACAAAAATATTTAGAATTAATCTCAATAAATAAATTTAAAAATTTTTAATAATTGTGTTGGTTTTTTTATCACCTTTAATTGATTGTGCGTGACAATTGATATTTTAAGTCTTTTTTGTAACTTCAAATACCACTAAAATAGTAGTAACAACAACTGTCTTTATTTAAGTATTAATTATTGACAATCGTTTATCACAAATTACCATAAAGAAAATAAAAAATATTTTAAAGAAAAAAGTATTTTTGTAAATTATTGTGAAAAAATATTGAAAATTGAAAACAACACAACTATATGGTAAAACTATTAACAATTATGGCGAAAATACCCAAATGAATACTTTAGAATGGGACAATATGCTCTAAACGTTATCCTTTCTTCAAACGTTGTCCTTTTTGCAAAAAATACACAACAAATTTTTTAAAAATTAGGAATTAGGTAATAAATCATAAAAACGGTAAAAAAAACTCAAACAATGATTTTCTGGCGTTTGGAAAATTTCTCGATATATTCCAGTTATTAATATCTAAAAACTGAGGGACAACGTTAATGAAAAAACAACGTCTAGAGAATGACTCTAGTTCTCTTTTATTAACTATTTTAAGTACAAACTTTTATAAAATTTGTTTTGTTTAAAAATAAGTTAACAAATTTTATAGTTCATAATAGAAAACTATAGAAGAATAGGTCAATAATCGTAGTAAAGAGATAAAAAAAACCGCTTTTGATAATTTAATAGTAAAATGATAATATGATTATAGTTTTTTTGTATAGTTTATTTTTTTCCTTTTCCTCGATTTGATTCAAAAAAAACAAGGTTTACAAGAGTCTCTCTGACTTTTTCAAGATGCCGATGTTTGTTATTGAAATTTGTGAATTATTTTTTATGTGAAGTAAAGGCTGGATTTGCCGAATGATAAAAGGAGGATCAAGAAAGATTGACTTTGAAACTGTTCTTTGAGGTCAAAATAACCAAAAAACATCTTAAAATTAATATAATTAAGTGAAAAAATAATGAACTTTTTATTAAATATTTTTTTCAATTTTTTGCAGAAATAAAAAAACTCAAAAACACTAACCCGCGAGTGTACCTTTTTTCACGCTTCTTTTCACTCCTTTATAATTTTTTTCATTTTTTTAATCATCCATTAAACAAATACTCAACAGTCAAATCGATTACCTCTTGAGCAATATAGTTAATACACGGACCAGCACATGTTTTTGATAGACCACTTTTCAATGTCTCTCAGCAAAGACAGACTGCACCTTTATTTCACACCCCCTCTTGTTGGATTCCTCAGAAATTCATTTCACTGCCAAACCGAAAAAAACGCACTTTGGAAATACTCACAAACTGAACGTGAGTGCATCCATTCCCAGCGGTTTTTCAAGTGCCTGTCAAGCAAGCGATAAATGACTCATTATTTCGTTGTACTTGCTTTTTTGAAACTTTTTATAAAATAAACGAAGCAATTTTTTAATATTGGTCAATAAAAACAATGTAAGACGGATAATTTTGTGTAAATTATTAGAAGCGGTAAAAGGGCGCTGCACATGTTCGTTATAATTTCTCGTGTTTTTTGCTTTTTTCCACCAAAACCTCAATTATTTGAGGCAAATTGAAACTTTGGTTACAATTGTGTGTAATTTTATCAGTAAATGGTAGTAAAGCGGTTTTTCCCGCCGTGCAGAGAAATGTTAAAAAAGACTGGGAGGATACTGTGGACGATCCGAAAGTGTGGCAATAATTTCTGTATGGTGAATCAATTCAAATTTATTGTGTGTTTTTGTATGTTATTCAATATTTTTGGTTAAAAAATATTTGTATGCCGAGAAAAAAAAACACTATTTTTTCACAATTTAAAAAGGCAATATTTGGTTATTGGATAAGTTTTTATAATAAAACAATATGAATTTGATTTAGAAAAGACAAAAAAGATCTAAAGCGGTTTTTCGCCACCGTATTATTTTTTATTTTAAAAATCGGCAAAATGCCAAAAAACGTTATTTTTCTATACAATAAAACAAGTAAATGGAAGTGAAGCGGTTTTTCCCGCCAGCCAAAATGCTTGCCCAAAAGTGCATCTCAATAAAAATTGTCGAAAACATTATGGAGACCTTGACTGTTATCAGCCCAATACGTTATTAAGAAGACATTGTGCCAAAGTGAAAATTGATGTGTTATTTATTTTAGAGGGGTTCTTATACCTTTATCCGCTAATTATAAAAAATGATTATCTTCAACTTTCTTACTATTTGATGGACTATATTGTTCATTTTATTACAGTAAATATATGTAACATTTTGGGATTTAAGCACATTCTTTTATAAAGATAAACAAAATAACTATAAATATTAATAATTTTATTATAATTTATACTATAATTTGTTTCAAAAATTGAATCAAATGGTGGGTCTGAAAAGTAATGAAAACTACTCAACACTTGAAAGTTCAAAAGAAATACACAACGACAACAACTGCTTCGATACGTTGTGTCAAATGGATCAATTCATGTTCTGTCTGTTCGGATTTGAGCATAAGTAAAATGATAATTATGGTTTTTATAATTATTTAATAGTAAATTTATTAATTTTATTAGTAAATTTTAGGTCCAGATATGGTTAAATTATAATAATAAATAAATGTTTATTAATTTATTATTATAATTAATAATTAAATGCACTATTTAATAATTAATAAATAGTGCATAGATAAATAAGGAATATTTAACGAGTTAAATTCCCTCACTCTTTTTGTTTCCTGTTTTCTATATTCCTCGTTAAATTCAGATTCTATAAACTACAAAATCCTTTTCCTCATAACATATTCAACGTGTGATTGGAAATAGTGTTCTTTCTCTTTCTTATACATGAACTTCCGATTGATCAAAGTGTTTGTGAAAAGTAGAGTTGTCCCACATTCTTGTCTTCACCAACTTGACACTTCCCGTCTTTCCAGTGATATACAATTTGGCTTTTTTGTCCTCGAAAAAGTAATTTAAAGGAGTTGGTCGGTTCAATATAAAATCGTCATTGAAATACACAAAACACTCCCCGAGGTTCTTCACGTTATGTAAATGCAATTCCAAGTTATCACTACTGAACACTGGCAAAACTTCTTTTTGTATTATTTCTTGATGAGAAACGACTTCCAAAGTGTATTCTCCGTCTTTTAGTATATAAGCAGTCTCGTTCAAAGGGCGCTCAAGGAAATTTGGTATTTGGTTGTCTGTCACAAGAAAGTAATTTTTGATATATGGCGCAAACATTTTGACACTCCTTAAAGAGTAAAACAGGGTGTTGTAGTCTCGGAATTTGTTTGGGTCGTGATTGGAATTAATAAGCTTTTTGTATTTGGAAATCCATGTCGGATCTGTTCCATTCACCCACAACCACAACGCATCTATTCTTTCATCACATTCAGTTGGTAAATTGTCTAGATCTTTTTCTTTCAATGGATTTTGTTGTTTTGTCGACTTTTTGAGTTTTCTAAAATATCGGTAGAGCTCTTTATTTGCAAAAGTCTCCTGTTCTTTCGGAGACAAAATTTCTGAACATCTCTTCCTTGTGTTTGATCGCCTCTCTCCATTTGGTCCTTTTTTGTTTTTGTTTTCGTTTTCTTCCTTTTCATCGTCGTTATTTCCTTCTTCTCCGTCTTTATCATTTTCATTCATTTGAGAAATGGAGTTGATTTTATTTGATTCTAAACTTTTCAATAATTCGTCTTCTTCTTTTTTGATTTGAATAAAATAATCATGGTTTGTGTTTAAAATTATGGTGTTAAAATCTTTTAAAGAAGAGAGTGTAAAAAACGGTTTTTGTATAACTGGAAGTATTGGGACTTCGTCATTGGTAATTTCAAGTGGGTTGAAATGAATTTTAAAGCGACTCATCCGTTGGAACAAATAAAGTTGTTGTTAAAAATAACAAAAATACTGTGATTGAAACCACCAAAATTGTAAATATTGATTGCATTACAACTTTATGAATTATTAGTTGTTTTTTGAAAGTTTTACAATTAATTTTAATTCCATTTTAAATACCATACATATATATTTGACAATTTTTATTGTCAAATATATATGTATTGTTTTATTTTAAAAAACATACTAATTTTAAACAAATTATAAAAATTCATGTGTAATTAAAAATATGTTTAAATGATGTTTCTTAATTTTTTGAACAATTGGTTTCGTTTTATTGTTTCATAAACTCAAACTCATTTTATTGACATATATTGTTTAAGCATTAAACATTAACCGAGGTATGACAATATTGGTGTATTTATGTAATGCTAAACACTTTTATGTGTATTACTTCTTTATTTTTTTAAATTAACATTTTTTATTAATTTTATTATTTTTTCAATAATTGTATTTATTAGAATGTAAATAGTTTATTAAATAGTTAAAGACTTGTTGGTTGTTTGAATAAATTGTTTTTAATAATATTATTGTTATAATATTATAATAATAATACCCATTTAAATTTTTAAACCCCATAATTTTTGATTTATAATAATAATTAATTATACTAATAATCCTGTTACTTAAATAGACACTCTTGTCAGGTAAATATACTGGTTTTTATCTTTTTTAAACGTGTCAAGATGTTGCCAAGCAGTTTACCAATTTGGTTATTCACTGCGGTCTATTCACTTGGCGATATTTTTATATAATAACAATTCAAAAAAAATTAAAAAATTAATTATAATAATTATTTTTATATATAGAATTATAACTAAAGAATACTATCCAATAACATGAATATTTCTATTATTTTCATTCCTTATATATTTTATAAAAATTTCTATACATAATCAATATAAATTTTAATATTTATATTTACAAATTTACCCTTTAAAATCAATTAAAAACCAAGGAAAATCAACGCTGCAACCACTGCAATTGCAAATCCAATTGCGCTCGAGTCGGCTGTGCAAACTTTACACTCTTCAGTAACACAAGGCAGCTCATACTGTTCTTTACATGGAACACACTCGCCCTTTTCCACATATTTTCCGCTCTCACATTTTGTGAAGAAACATCTGTCGAGGACTCCGTCGTATGAAGTAGTATCTTTTTGGCAATCCTTGCAAGTGTCTGTGTTTGTATCAATAAATTGATTTCCGTTGCACCCTATTTTTTCACTTTCAGCCCTGCAAAAGTGTCTTTGGTGTAATTATTCTGTGTATAGACTACAGTTTCTTTGTTCACTGCATTCGTCTCGACTTCAACATCGTTTTGACCGTGATAGAAAATGGCCTTTAAAGTTGTTCCAAACGCGTTTTTATTGATCACTTCAATTCCCTTTCCCAAGTGGATTCCCTTGAGACTTTCGGTGTTCGCAAAAGCGTCTGCTTGAATTGATTTCAGGGAGTCTGAATATTTGATGTACGACAATTTAGGGCATTGGTCAAACATCGCAAAACTGACTCTTTCAACGTCCTGCAAATCAACGGTCGTCAATTTCTGGCATCCAGAATACGCATTTTTCTCATAAATAAGTTGGTTGTGTAACTCAATTTGTTCAAATCCAGTAACAGAAAACGTTCCATCGTATATGAAAACGGCGTCTTGATTGAACTCAAATTTTTTCAGAGAAGTGCACCCTTTAAAAGTCTCAACTCCAATAATTTCAGCGAACTCCGAATTGAGTACTGTTTCTAAACTGGAACACCCAGAGAAAAGGGTGGGTTGGATGTATTTCTTTCCTTTCAAATCGACTCGTTTGAGTGATGTGCAGAAAGCAAAAGCACCTTCACCGTATGTGATCTTTGGGACTAAATTCACTTCGATGATTCCAGTGCCACTAAAAGCATATTGCCCAAAGTTTTCAAGCTTTTCAAAAAAGTCCACTTTGGTCAAACTTTTGCACCCTGAAAATGCAAATTCACTCACTGAAGTGATGTTTTCAGTGTTTTTAAGTGTCTTCAGATATTGAGAATTATTGAAGATGTTTGCTGGAATGGAAGTAACACCTTCAAAATCGGCTTCTGTAAGCAACTGACACCCACCAAAAACTCTGTTTGCGTATTTAGTGGATGCACCAATTTTCACACTTTTTATTGCTGTGTTCCACAACGCTTCTTCTCCAAAATCAACGACGTTTTCAAGACCAATGATTTCATCGAGCTTGGTGCAATTTCGGAAAATTCCTTTAATCAGTTTTGTAAGACCATTTAAGTTGGCTTTTTTCAATGTGACGGTTCCATCCAATGTGTTTCCTAAACTAAATTTGGCAGAGGGATTGAACGTGATTTCTGTGAGGCCGGTATTACTAAGAGCATACGAATTAAATAGAGTCACTTTTTCAAGACCAACAATTTCAGTCAGTTTGACACAATCACTGAATTCATACCCTTCCAACTCTAAATAATCGTTTAATATTACTTTGACAAGATTCCTACAGGCCATAACAACATTAAATCCATAAGTTGTGGTATTCAAATATTCAAACTCAGTCAGAGAAGTGTTTTTAAAGGCAAGACTGCCAACTTTAGTAACGCTCTCAAGTCCAACTATTTCGGCCAAATTGTAACAACCAGTAAACATCCCATATAAGACTTCTGTGAATTCGTTCAAAACAACTTTTGTGATTTTGTCACATCCGGCAAATACAGAAGATCCATACTTCGCCGTTCCATTTAATTTCAGTTCTCCTTCAATAGAAACGCTATCAAAACAGTTTCCTCCAAATTCAGTGATTTTATCAAAATTCACAATTTTGGCAAGTGCAGTGCAATTTTTGAAGAAGTAATTTGGTATCACTGTGGTATTTCCCAAATCAACTTTTTGTAAGAAGCCACAATTAGAAAAGGCGCCATCGCCGTATTTCACATTGTCGTGGATAATCAATTCTTTTATCTTTGTGCCACTGAATGCGTATTTCCCGACTTCTGTGATGTTCTCGTAATTTGTGAAAGTCTAACACGTTTTGAATTTTAAATAAAAAAGAAAATGTTCATAATATTCAACATTAACAATTTGTTTAAAAAAATAATTGATAATATATAGTGTAACATTAAACACAATTTTCAACGACCATTTAAATGTGTTTAAATAAAGATTATACACATAACTAATCAAAAATAATATTCATTTTTAAAATGAAATAAATTGTTTTTGTGAGTCAAAACAAATTGTTAAATTTTGTGCAACTCGATCCAAAGTTGTTAACAAGTTGTATTGAATTGTAAATAAAAACGATTATCATGTTTTCATTATCAAATGTGCTGTTTTTAACACAACGAAATTAACATAAAAATAAATATATACATATGGTATCGTCCAACCTTGTAATGTCATTTTATATTTTTAAATTTTCATTCAATGAAACAACAAATTGTCATATAAATTAATTTATGTCAAGATTTTAAGTCACTTTATTTTATATTTTGGTTATAATAATGCTGATATTTTATTTGAGAAACATATAAAAACTCTTTTTGTGTTTTATTTGATACACTGATTCGTGTTTAATGAATACAATGAAACAGTGATTACTTAAAGGGTTGAACAAGTTAAATTATATGTCAAGTTCTAACACAGAATGTAATGACAACATTTTATTTTACTTCAATCCAATGACATTTTCCTATTATTTATTTATGCCATTCAATCAAATTTTTTTCTCAAAAAGTTCTTTGTTTTATTTTTATTTAGTTTTTGGGTTAAATATATAATTTTTTTATTTGTTTTTTTTCTGGTTATTATTTGTTTTTTAAAACACTTTTGGTCTTATTATTTGAAAAAGCAAATAAAGTGCAGTTTTGAGCATATTATTCAAAAACTTTCCCAAAACAGCATATTTTATAATTTTTATGATTATTTTGATCAAATTGAGCAAAAACAATTCTTTTGTGAATAAAATTATTTATTTTATTTAAAAAGATAAAATGCCATTTTTTCTTTTTCAAAAAACGATTATTTAATTGAGGTTTGCAGCCCTGTAGAGAATGTTATTCTTTATTAAAACAACAAGTTAATTAGATTTATTAAATATACCTTTTTAATTAATTTCCTAATCAGTTTATAAATACAAACCAATTTATAGACCCGATATAGTATAATATACTACTTTTTATTTAAAACTTGATTTACATAAATTTATCATCTTGTGTCGTGTCATATTTAATAATCGATGTTGTCCCAACAAACATACTACTTGTCAAATTAAATACAGTAAAAATTCTATCAGTGTGTAATTTTTTTCTTTTCTTTTTAAATTTCTGGCAAAAAAACTAAAAAATAATGAAATTTGTAAAACTATCCACAATCAAGAAAAATGACACAATGTATTTTTTGTTTTTTTGAGAAAAAACACGACACGTGTAAATATAAAATATTATTGTGAATTTTTTTAAAATTGTTTAATTGTTTAGAATAAGAACAACGCATCGTGTTTTTGTATAAACAAATGGACTTTGGGTGCGGATTTTTGTCAATTTACAACTCAAGTACTTCTTTGACATCAGCCCCGATTGCTTCTTTGTCTTCTGTTGATAACCTTGAAAAAATTTGCTTGTTCACCGTGTTATTACACGGTAGCATTAGGTGAGTGTCGATTTTTAGCCTCAAAAGTCATCATCTTGTCGTCCTTTGCCTTAAACTTCTTTGCGTCTGCAACCATCTTGTCCACCTGTTCCTTTGAGAGTCTTCTTTCCTGTTGTCTCGTTTTCAGCTGACACATTCAGAATCCCATTTGCATTTTTGTCAAATGTGACTTCAACTGTGAGACTCCACGTGGTGCTAATAAGATACCAAACAACCCAAACTATCCAAGCAGGTTGCAGTGTGATGTCAATGATGCCTCGCCCTCAAAGACTTGGATGAGCACGCCTGGCTGGTTGTCTGCATGTGTCGAAAATATCTGTGACTTTCTTGCTGAAATTGTTAAGTTTTGTGGTATCAATTCTGTCATCACACCAATCACAAGCGTGCTCTTGTGATTGGTGTGTGGAAGTCGGTGCATTTTTTATTATCATTTAAAGTTTAATATTTTTTGAAGAGCATTTTCTGCTTTTCTTTTGTTATCTTTTTTGAATTTATTTTTGTTTGATAATTTTTCTCTTTTTAAGTTTTTATTACCAAGTCTTTACTCTTTTAAAATAAAAACAAATATGCAATTGACATTATTTTTGCGGGTTTTGGTGCTAAATATGTGGGAAATCATAATATTCCATCGGTGTGTAGGTCACTTTTGATTGGTCAAAACCACACACAGATAGAATTTTTACTTTAAAATATTTTCATGGTTATTCGAACGATGTTTTTAATTTTTAAAAAAATTGAATACTGACCGAAATGTTACCACTTATGATTATTAATATTATTATCTATTCAAAAACAGATTATTCTTTTTTAAAACTGTTTCTTTTATTAAGTAACTAAAAATAACAATGCTTAATATAAATATTGAATTACTATTATTGTTTGTAACACACACACTTTCTTTGCAATGGTGCCTAAATGGAAATACAATTGAATGCTACACTACAGACTTTATTTATCAAAACTTAACCCTTCAAGTTAAGAATTCTAAAATAAAGTACATTAATTGCACTTTTTTGAAATATGTTGAAATATACTTTGTCGAACAAAGAAAAGCAATAACTATCTTTTTAAATTATACATATTTTAACTTGAAATATATAGACAACAAATATAACAATACTGCATTCAACATATCCAATTATATTGATAATAACAATGGAACAACAAACATTATGCAACAAAGAAAAAACTCAATGACATGTAATGGGTTGGCTGTCGATAATTGTTTAGAGTGTTTTCCTACTTGGGTTGGTTGTGCTTTATGTGAACAAGGTTACACTCTTATGTATAGAACAGTTAATAGTCAAAAAGAATATACATGTACGTATGGTACAACAATTCCGTCAGGGTACTATAAAAGGTGCAATGATAATTGGAAGTATAACGAATCTACAGGAAGGTGTTGTGCCATCAACTGTAGTTCAGAAACGTGTTCCGCTTCATTTACTAACCCATGTGCTACATGTGCATCCCCTTATAAATTAGTTGGCTACTCGTGTTATTACAACGGGTGTACTGTTGCAAATTGTGAAACGTGTTCGAGTTCGGGTGTTTGTAGCACTTGTAAAAGTGAATACACATTTAAAAATTCGTCGTATTGTGAAAAAAACTCCATTACCATTCCAAATTGTGCAACATACAGGGGAACGTCATGTACAAAATGTGAATCGAATTATTACTTGTTAAACAGTACATTTTGCCAACTTTGTGACACAACTTGTGGTGGTTCATGTTCTGATTCGACAGGATATTGTTCAAGTTGTTCTACTGGGTTGGTGTACACAAATCCACAATCCAACCAGTGTGAAGTGTGTTCTAATTATGATTCAAAGTGTGTCGAATGTCTGACTCCAAATAGAGAGTGCCGGATGTGTACAGATGGATATTACCCAACAAGTACAAACTCCAATTGCATTTCTTGTGATTCAACGTGTGCATCGACGGGGTGCAACACACAGACAGGCGCGTGTGGCACTTGTGTAAGCAATCAGTATACAATAATCTCTGAAACAAGTGTCACGTGTCAGACGTGTTCTTCTTTTGACTCAAATTGTGTAGAGTGTTCAACCATCTCACGAAAGTGCACAAAATGCACAAGTGGGATGTACCCATCAACAACATCTCCATTTACATGTGTAAGTTGTGATTCAACGTGTTTGAATGGATGCAACACACAGACTGGATACTGCGAGATATGTTCATCACAGTACACTCCCGCAATAACACAACCTTCGAAATTCTGTTCTTCTTGCAATTCAATAGACCCAAACTGCAACACGTGTTCATCAACAGAGAGAAAGTGTTTAAGTTGTGCATCTCCGTATTTTGTTGGCAATAATGGGGCAAACTGTGTACAATGTGATTCGTCTTGTTCTTCGTGTGATGCAAATGGGTATTGCACCTCATGCGCATCAAATTATGTGATGTATGACACACAAAACACAAAGTGCCAAAGTTGCGCAGACTTCGATTCAAACTGTGAGACTTGTCCAGGTGGAAACGAGAAGAAATGCACAACTTGCAAAACAACAAACATGTACCCGTCACCAGATACCGGGAAGTGCATTTCGTGTTCAACTACATGTGGTGGAAGTTGTGACCAAACAGATGGACATTGCACTTCATGTGATAGTGGTTTGGTGTTTACAAATCCACCATCAACAGTGTGCGAAGTGTGCAAAAATTTTGATTCTCATTGTGCCACTTGTGCTGACAATGGTGTCAGATCGTGTCTAATATGTTCAGTTGGGTATTACCCGTCGAGTGGCATGTGTGTATCGTGTACAGCAACGTGTCAACAAAACGAGTGCAACGCAGCAAATGGAATATGCACAAAATGTATTGACAATCACGTTGTGACTTCGCCAATTTCAACAAATTGTGAAAGTTGCAGTGTTTATGACCAAAATTGCGTGACTTGTGCAACAGACTTCACAAGAAAGTGTATTGCCTGCAAACCAAATTATTACATCAAAATGAGTGGCGATTACAAATGCCAAAGTTGCTCATCGACGTGTGGGGGCGCCTGCAATGGTAGCAATGGATTTTGCACAACATGTTCAAGTGGGATGGTGCCAACCAATCCACCTTCAACAACGTGTATAACATGTCAGGCATTTGATGTAAATTGTGAGAGTTGTGTGACTGATGAGCGGAAGTGCATAAAGTGTTCAACACCAAACATGTATCCCGACGACACGTCACGCACCTGTGTGTCATGTTCAACAACATGTGGAGGGAGTTGTGATGCTACAAATGGGATATGCACAACATGTCAAGATAACTTTGTCTTCCAATCAACTAAATCGAGAGTCTGTGAACAATGTTCAACTTTTGATGAACATTGTAATAAATGCTCGTCTGCATTCGACAGAAAGTGTGTGATGTGTAACAATGGATATTACCCAAACGAAAATGGTGTATGTGTTCCATGTGGACAAAACTGCAATAGCTGTGACGAATCGACTGGCGCATGTTCAAGTTGCAGTACAAACAACGTATTTTCAGAGAGCGACAACAAGACTTGTATGACGTGCAGTTCGTTTGATGTGTTGTGTTTAACATGCTCGTCTTCTTTTGAGAGGAAATGTGCCAAGTGTTTGACTGGGAGTTATCTCTCGAATGGGCCAAAGTGCACACTCTGTGATACGACATGTGACACCAATTACTGTAATAATCAAAGTGGGATATGTTCAAAGTGCTCACAGCCACAATATGTTGTGACATCGCCACAGTCAACCCGTTGTGTCAATTGCAACGTTTTTGACACGAATTGTATGGAGTGCAAAGGAGATTATTCATCACGACTGTGTGTTCGATGTGCAAGTGGGATGTATCCATCGTCAAGTGGAAGTTGCGTGTCGTGTTCGTCCACGTGTGGAGGGCAGTGCAACACAATAAATGGAGAGTGCACCGGGTGTCAGACAAATTATGTCTTCAGTGATCCAAAGGGGTTGACTTGTCAAATGTGTTACGATTTTGACTCAAAATGCACAACGTGTTCTTCAGACTTCAGCAGAAAGTGTGTTGTGTGTAATGATGGGTACTATGTTGTTGATGGCAAATGCAAAGTATGTGACGAATCATGTGGTGGTAAGTGTGATACAACCAGTGGACATTGCACAGGCTGCGACACAAACAAAGTCTTTTCAACAACAAATAGCAGTGTGTGTATTGCGTGTGCTGATTTTGATGCATATTGTCGAGTCTGTGCGTCAAGTGGCGAGAGAAAGTGCAACACATGCACCAACAAGACACACCCAGACGAGACTGGTAAATGTGTTCCATGCGACGCACAATGCACAACGGGCTGCAATGGCCAAACTGGTGTTTGTGTCAACTGCAATTCAAACGAAGTTATTGACGAGTCTGATGGAACAACAAGGTGTGAGGCGTGTTCTTCGTTTGACTCAAATTGCAATTTGTGTGCATCAGACCAATCGCGTGCGTGTGAGGAATGCAACACAAACTATTACCCGGACACATCAACAGACTTCAAGTGCAAAATTTGTGACGCAACATGTAACGGAAGTTGCAACACGCGAAATGGGTATTGCACGGGGTGTTTATCAAATTACGTTTTTATTTCTTCAATGAGTTTGACGTGCCAAAGCTGCAGAACGTTTGATTCTCATTGTGCGACTTGTTCGCCCGACTTTTCCAGAAAGTGTGTGACCTGTGACAGTGGGTATTACCCGTCAAATGGAATATGTGTAGCGTGTTCAACAATGTGTCAACAAAAGAAGTGCAACATATCAAATGGAATGTGCACACTATGTATTGACAATTACGTTGTGACTTCGCCATTTTCTACAAACTGCATAATGTGCTCAGCATGGAACAAAGACTGTGTGACTTGTGCAACAAATTTCACTCAGAAGTGTGTGAAATGCAAAAATGGTAAATTTGCATCAAATGGAAAGTGTCAAGATTGTGACTCGACATGTGGTGGTGCCTGTGATGGGGTGAGTGGACATTGTACTGGTTGTACGGCAACGTATGTTCCTTCAAACACAAATCTGTCTGTGTGTATATCGTGCCAGGTATTTGATATGAATTGTGAGAGTTGTGTGACTGATGAGCGGAAGTGCATAAAGTGTTCAACACCAAACATGTATCCCGACGACACGTCACGCACCTGTGTGTCATGTTCAACAACATGTGGAGGGAGTTGTGATGCTACAAATGGGATATGCACAACATGTCAAGATAACTTTGTCTTCCAATCAACTAAATCGAGAGTCTGTGAACAATGTTCAACTTTTGATGCACACTGCGCTAAATGCTCGTCTGCATTCGACAGAAAGTGTGTGATGTGTAACAATGGATATTACCCAGACGAAATCGGTGTATGTGTTCAATGTAGCACAATAAACACAAATTGCACGAGTTGCAGCCAAACAGTTAAGAAGTGCCTGGCGTGCAAAGACCCACAATACCTAACTTTAAATGGGATTTGTTCAAATTGTGAAATTGGGACTTACAAGAAGACTGAGACAACATGTGAAAGTTGTTATTTTGCAACTGAGAATTGCAATGTGTGTTCCACATATTCTGTTGCTGTTTCCAATTGTACCTCTTGTATGACTAACTTTGTATTGAATGGCGGGGAGTGTCAGTTGTGTCCAAGTGGGAAGTATTACAATCCAAATTCAAAGAACTGTCAAAATAATGATGTAAACTGTCAAATACAAGTCGACGAATCAACTTGTCTTCTTTGTAACATCAACTGTTTTTTGGCGAATGGGGTTTGCCAACAAACAACTCGATGTCAAAGTCCGTCCAACACCACAATGTCTTCTTGTGACTGTTATGACCAAATCTCCGTCAACTCCGATTGTCAAGACAAAATGGTAAATTGCAAACACCAGAAAGTGAAAAGGGAAATTCTGTTTGTATTAATTGCAACGACAACTTCACTTTGAATGGAAATGATGTCAACATGCACAACAAA